ACTGGAAGGAGCTTGTATGTGGCCTATACCCTGCCAGGGGTGAAAGGATGGCCCAGGACAGAGATAACTGGAAGGAGCTTGTATGTGGCCTATACCCTGCCAGGGGTGAAAGGATGGCCCAGGACAGAGATAACTGGAAGGAGCTTGTATGTGGCCTATACCCTGCCAGGGGTGAAAGGCACTGATGATGATGATGAAGTTTTTGCTTTAGAAAATGAGCTATCTTGTAGCGTTGTGTCTTTTCTTACACTTGTAGTGTTAACGAACAGGAAGCGAAAGCACCAAGGTCAACGATGATCAAAACCATGGTGTGGGCTACCAAGTTCAAGGATGATCAAAGTAACGTTAGAAGAAGTCGGATTAAGTTTGTAAAAGAAAGAAAAACGTTACAGTTTTTTAAACATTCGTAACATAGGGACACATTTATTACATAACAATATATTAATATACATACATGAGAAACACAACAACATTGACAGTGTATCATAATTTTATCAATTTAATCATTTCACAAATTGTAAGACACAAACATGACAGATATATTTGTACACCGTAATAAACTGCTGGGATTGTGAGGTAAAACAATCAGTTGACACAACAGACACATAATGTAAGTTACAGTTTCAGTAAGGTTTGGGTTCAAATCCCCAACCCACGCAATGAGGTTTCTTCAGAGTCAGGTTCTTTAGAGTAAGGTTCTTTACAGTCAGGTTCTTTACAGTCAGGTTTTTTTCAGTCAGGTTCTTTACAGTCAGGTTCTTTTCAGTCAGGTTCTTTACAGTCAGGTTCTTTACAGTCAGGTTCTTTACAGTCAGGTTCTTTTCAGTCAGGTTCTTTACAGTCAGGTTCTTTACAGTCAGGTTCTTTACAGTCAGGTTCTTTTCAGTCAGGTTCTTTTCAGTCAGTTTTTTTACAGTCAGGTTCTTTAAAGTCAAGTAAAAACGGAACTGTTTGCTACCTTGTCTTTCTATCTAAGAAACAAGGGCTGGGAGCCGTTTCCATCTGAACTTAGACGAGTAAGAAATCTACAGAAACAAACTTAACGTGGACAAACATCAAACCAAACAGTGCTAGCTAGCTGTGCAATGATTTGAATTGAAAAGGTATATTTTGGAAACTGTTCATATATAAATATGTAAAAAAAATAAAATAAATAAGAGCTCCTTACCTTCTGTATAATATATTCACATAATACAATATGTATATTTTATTCATATTATCGTGACTTAAACTCAACCAATACCAACGATTTGTTGTTTTCCTCCGCTTCCCCATCCTTCCCAGGGTAAAAAAACCCCAGAAATTCAACATGCTTTTGAAGTTGACCACACGTGCTTTTGAAGTTGATCACACGTGCTTTTGAAGTTGACCACAGGTCCATGAAGAGTTGTTTGCGGGTGTAATATAGAGTGCACTGACTGAATGGAAAATGAACTGGAGAACCTTGCTCCATTAAAAAAAAATCTTTCCAGAGTCTTAAAAATTGAGGTCAAAACTGTGAAATTAAGAAACTATAGTCTCTAATAAGAGATGTGGAAATCAACCTCCAAAGATAACTGTACGAGTTTCCAGTACTGTAAACCCACAACTAAGCTACCGTTCCTCAAATATGACAATATCTGAATGGATGGTAGCAGTAGTGAGCTGTAAAACTATTTTCAACTAAAAACAGGTGTGGCAGTGGTGTTGTGTATTTTTAGTAGAGGGTTTTATGGCGCTCGTAACTGCATAAGGTCATATGAGAGCCAAGGGGTGGGTGTCAACAGACATGTCCTTACAGGGAATCAGACTTACTCTGCTTACCTCTCTTACTTCAACAGCACAAAGTCTGCTTCGATTATCAAGGCACCCCGGAAATAGCGGGTCACAAGAGTGTGACAAACATACAAAAGAGGTAGAGAAAAATGACAATAGTAAGGATTAGGAAAGAAAAAGCAGCAGTTCCCTGTTGTAGATCAGGCACAGTTATGAGCGTGACATGATAAATCAGCCCATTTACAATTCTACTGTGCATGAACGAGAAATGTCCCCCCTTTGGGAATGGCCTAAAGACACTAGTCAGTGGCACCGCCGCGGGGGGGTAGCAGTGGTGTTGGGTCAGTTGAATCAAACAGAATGTGAAATGAAACATAGGACCGACGTGCTCTGTACAGTGTCATTACAAAAATAAGTGTTTGGGACCACGTCTATCTTTGAGCTTAAACCAGCTGGACAATATCACATGAAATAAAAATATACAGATATATACTTGGTACCTTCGGTTTCACCCCGACTCCACTTAAATGAAGAAAAACGGGAAATGTAAGTGCTTAATACCATGGGTAAAAGTGTCATATTACAAAAAAAAGATAAAGAAAGAAAAAAAACCCATCTTTATAAAAGATATGTGATGACAATATACATGGCCTTTGTAATTTACTGTGTCGCTCACAAAGTAGTTTGGTGCAGACAAAGCTTGTTTTTAATTCTTGGAGGCATTTTTCTCCACTATTTGTTTTATTTTCTAACAGTGGCGTCGGTGGCCTAGTGGTTAGGCTCTCGGACTCGCAACCGTAAGGTTGTGGGTTCGAATCCCGTCAGGGACCCGACGTTTTGTCCTTGGGAAAGGCACTTTACACGAATTTTCCTCACTTCACCCAGGTGGGAATGGGTACCCGACTATAGACAGCAAAAGATCTTGTCAGTTTGTTAGTGTTTGAGCGCTTAATCAGCTGCTTGCACTGTATGCTTCCCAGGAAGCTGAGAATGTTTCAGAGTGTTCTATGGTCTGCTGGGGTAATAATATAGTGTAAAGCGCATAGAGCCTGCTGTTGAGCGGGGATATGCGCTATACAAATGCTATTTGTTATTATTTATTATTATATATATTAACACAGAGACTTGAAATTGGGCATGTAGTTAGAGAAATGGTTGGTACTTGTAGTGGGCTGGTCAGTTTTTTAGATTTTGCTTTAGAATTAAAAAAAAAAAATTAGGCCTCGCCTGTGACAAAAGTTGCTCCAGTTTGTCTTCAGTTAAAAATGTTGCCCCGTAGATATCGAGCCCCAACTAATTATTTTCATAGATTTTCCAGGCTTCCCATTTCCTTTCTTTACCACGAAAATCTACACCTTTATGGGGCGTGGAGACATGGCCAACACTATACAAGTATTTCGGAAACCCGGACGCAGCATGC